TTGCCTCTTTCTTGGTCACTCGTTTTCTCTTTCTAGCCTCTTTCTCTTAGCTTCTTCTCTTCCTACCTCATCATCTTTCCACACATTTCCAATGGACCATACATATCACAGGCTCAATTGAAAAAGTTACCTAGATGCAGATTAATGTTGACAGAAAGAATAAAGAGTAAATGGGTTAAGATTCTTTATATGATTTTTTTAATAGCTAGCATTTATTGAGTACTTAGTACATGTCAGGAATTCTACTTCACATGTGTTATCTCAATAATACTTTCAGTAGTGAAATACAGTAGCTATCTCCGCCCCCCAATCATATAGCTAAGGAAATGAGACTTAGAAAGATTAAGTGACTTATCCCAGGCCCCACTTAATAAGCAATAAAAAGTGTCTTACTCTAAAACATGCTTATCTACTGAGCTATAACATTCATGGATCCTATTTATTTATTTGTAGATCTAGGGTGTTGCCCTCACTGGACATTTATACCTGACATCTCTAAACCCTACTTCCACGCATGAGTGCTTGCTGGAACTTATTAAGTATGTAAACATTTTGAATATTATTGCCTAACAAGTACTTTGTTACTCGTACATGAAGACAGAAGGAATGTAAAAAATACCCTAAAACTAACAAATGATTATCCCTTAACATAGATGTGTAAATAGGATCCCAAGATGTGAATTGTCTTTTTGTTTTAGCTTTAATAATGATGTTATACACGCAAAATCATGGGATTTTTTATTTGTTTCTTTGTTTAACTGGATCTGGTCACACTCCAACCCCTTCATTTATACTAAAGAAATGGGGTCCAGAGGAGTGGTTCCTGGTGGAAAGTTACTGATAGAGTCTGCAGTAGAACTTCTGTATTCCAATGTCCACTCTCAAGCTCATTCTAGTACACCGTGCTGACAGGCAAAATTTGGATTTTAGTTGCATCGCAAACTTTTATAGAACGTCTGTGACAAACGATTAGCTTTTTTTTTTTAAGATTTTTATTGGGGAATTGGGGGATGGGAACAGCACTGGGGAATTGGATGAAGGGGAACAGACAAGTTGCTGTCATTTTGTTCTTCAGTCTAGTTGTGGAGAACGTTGCTTCACTGGCCCAAGTTGGCACCATCATTGCACTCTTCCCGGGCGAGGCAGATCAGTCGCCGGCTTNGGTTGTGACTAACAAGGCTCTTGGGCCAGCAGGCCCAGAATGAGGGACCTCTTGGACACTCCTTCATAGGTCTTTGTTCACCAAACAATATGATTCCTGGCAGCAGAGCCATGTTAATAGATGGCCCCTCCCTATCTCATTCCCCCCACATGCTAAAGAAGCTATCAAAATAGTGTTTTTCATATTCTAGAAGCCTGTGGAAGATGGATCAGATAAAGAAATCCTGACACTCTGAAATTGGTTCAAAGGGGTGGAGTAGTTCTGACCGCCCAGGAATGGCTACAACAAGCTACCTGTTGGGACCTCGGGCTGTCAGACACATTGATTTGGTTTAACATCCTGCCAAGGCAAAAAGATAAGCCAGGGTAAGCAATTTTTTTCCAGACAAGGTTCTTTTCAAAAATTGAATTTCATCATCTTGCCTTCTGTAATTAAATGTAGAAACACACATACTCTTTCATCTTTTCTGTGTATATTGTATGCTACTGAATTGACTACTTAATCAAAAGTTAGAGATGATGGACGAAATGAAAATAGAATCTTGGTTTTCTCCTCATTGCCTCATAATGGAAGAATAATGAAGCTGTGACCTTGTGTGGCGCTTTTCGGAGAGGTGGACCTCAGAGCTGTTTCCTTGGGTACACTCTGTTCTTTCTTTGTCTTTTACTTTCTGTGACTTCCAACCCTCCTCTATAATCATTCATCCACTCCTAGGGTACTCCGACATTAGGTACTGAGAGGCTCAGAGCCTCAGAGAGCTCTAATCAGTGGCAACTATAAATATACCAAAAGCAACAGCTCCAACGCTGAAGAATTTTGGTTGGTTGGTTGGTTATCATCCCAAGTTTAGAAAGGGAAGGGGGAGGACAGTAGGTGTGCTTTAAATATTTTGAAAGTTCTTACCTCGTCCTTGTTGACCAGTCCGAATTTGGACATGTCTATGGTAAAGTAGTGAATGTTTGGTAGGCTGATTTCCATATCTTCTATCTGCAATTCACAATAATATCTATCACACTGGGCAACTGAGAATCCATCTTTCTGTCGCTCCTCCCTCCCCACACCTACCCACTAGCCCATTACTCCGGCTTCACCTCTGTCTCTGAGACAACCTGCGATGTTCCCTTACAGCCCGACACTGTCCTCCCCTCCTAGTCCTGTCCTTACATGGTGGATCGGCTCTTCTCCCCCCCCCCCCCCATGTACAAAACCTGCCTGTCAGAGAAGGAAGGGATTCTTGGGTCAGAAACCTGGGAGACCTCTTCAGCATCTTACTAGTCTCCTGGTGCTGGCCAGTCAACCTCCTAAGTCCCTCCTCATTCCACTCCCTCCTCTCTAGACCTGTCCCCGGCATTCACAGGCCCTAGGGGAAGAGGATAATCAGAGGCCCACTCATCAGATGTCTAAAGATTTCAAAGTTATACATCAAGCTAAAAAACTATCTTTCTAACTTGCCAAATATACCTTCATGACAACCCGGAAGGCCAGAATCTAATTTCAAATGATCTGATTCCTCAGAGTGCCATGGCAGGTTGTGTAGTGTGGAAAGAGTGAGCCCCCAGCCCCTGGCCCATCCCATGTCCTTTCTCGTACTCACGTGGGCAGACACCAACTTGCACATCAAGCCCCATCCCCACCTCCTGCAAACATCTGACCTTTTGCCCACTCTCAGGCCTAAGGGTGCACATGTCCATGGCATGATCAGCCCTCCAGAGGATGGATCTAGGGAAGAGACTTGCTCAGGTTCTTGCATTAGTCTCACGGTTATTTGGGCAGGAAATTCTGGGGTGAAGGTATCCAGAGAATGGCCTAGAAGCAATGCACGGGCTCTTGAAGTGGTTGTTGCCTTGGCCTCACCAATTCTTCATCCAGTGGAGAGGCACAGGCAGAGGAAGGCCTGAAGTGGGCCTCCAAAGTGCAGGGCCTTGGCAGGAGTCCGTTTGCCTAGGTCTACAGGTAGCACCCTTTTTCTCTGTCCCATCACGGCCTTCATTCAGGCCCTCCTCACCAGAATACAGCGACCGCCTCCCAACAGCTCTCCTTGTCTGAGGTCCATCCTTTTAATTTGTCACACTCCTTTCAGAGTGATATTTCTGGAGTAAAAATCTGCTTAAATCCCCACAGTGGCTCCTAAGTGCTTTCAGGATAAAGTACAGACTATAAATAAGCCTACCAAAGCCCTCCTGATCTGGTTCCTGCCTCACATCTAGGCACAAGGAAAGACTTTCATTCTTGCAGCTTGACATATGGCAGACCCTTAACAGTAAATACTGTTCCATGCTGCCTCCTGTCTCCATACCTACTCTGCTCCCTTGCTTTGGAGTGTGAACCCAGATAACCCCTCCTTGTCCCTTAAGACTCAAACACCTCTCCTTCCAGAAAGCCTGGTTGGCCCTATCCCCTATACCTGAGTTGGGTGCCTTCCTCTGTATTTCTGTAATGCTCTATTTTCTGTTGTAGTGTTCGTTTATTAATTTTCTTCTTTCACTGAATGATGAGCTCTTTGAGGGACCATGAGGGGCCATGTCTAATTTATCTTTGTATTCCTCATGTCCTGACAGAGACATAATAACCATTCAATAATACCAAATGGATGGATGGATAAATGAAATCTCTCTGCATCTATTCTTCATTCTCTGGCTCTCCTGAAACATAGATTCTTGGCCTAATTCCCCCTCCTTCAAGGCATTTGAGTGTCCTGAATATGAGGCTTAAATTGTAGTAGGTTGAAGAGACTAAAGAATTTTCAGCAAAATTAAATAACTACAGCAGTGGCCTGTGTTTTCAGGTTGGACAGATTTTTCCTTTTTTTGCTCTCTTCTCACTTGCTATAACAAGCTTTTGAACAACAGATGTCATTTTTCATGTGTCTCCCACTTTCTTATTTTAACTCTCAACTCTTCCTCAGAGTTGACAGGAGACACAAGTTCTCTCAGTCCTCATAATGGCAAGTGACAAAACGTACCTCAGGAATCCGGCTCAGGGCGAGCACCTGGATGTCATAGAGTGTCTTCTGGACAGAGGGTGAGTACTCGCCTTTGTCATAGGGTCCAGCAAGTTTCTCCAGGACAGTGTCCATGACAGTGTCCCTAAACCACAGAAAAGAGAACTGAAGACTCAGGGGTGGTCTTTAGGAAAGCATTATAAAGCTAAGGAACAGTGCTCCTTCTGTCCCCCAGAAAACAATTTTATCGCAGATTTTAGAAGAGATCAATATCTTGTAATACCAAAAAAAAAANCATTATCCAGAAGCAACGTTGTGGCATCAGTAGGATGCAAACTGCTTGCTTCTTAAACTTGTGCACTGATTAATTGATATCATACTTCCAATAATTCATGATTATTTTCTGAGTGAATTGATTCCAAAGCTTCTCTAAGATAAAAAGGCACAAGACAACTAAAAAGGAATCTCGATTTATGATTATTCTAATAGTGTTCAGCATTTGTGAAATAAACTGTATCCAGAAAGCATGTTGCAATTACTAATCACCAAACACCTTGCTGAGCTAGGTGTAGAAGAATTCTTCCATACAAGAGGAAAATGAACGCTATAAATCAACACAGGAGGTTGAAATTTTGCATGGTTCCATACTCTGATTTCCAGCATCACAAGTGGCTTACGGAACTCCTCGGCTCAGAGTGGACTCCCACTGGTGGCTACCATGTCACAGGTTGGAAGCCGGCTTTCTCTTGACTGTAGCAGTAATTCTGCCATATGGGTTGTCCACTGGTTGCAAGACCTGTAGAAAAACCACACTGTAACTTCAGAGGCATTAAAATCTACCTCTCCTTTATTCTGTGAATCAATATTAAATCAACAATGAAAACGACAACTTGCTAAACAGGGAAATGTATATGCCCGACAGTCAGTTGAGTTATTTCAAATGTGGTAATGCTTTGTTTTTCTGGCAGTAGTTGAGAGATGAGTCAATTTTCCAGAAAATTAAAGAGATTTAGAAAAATTTCAATCATTGAGATATAAATGGTTCTCAAATGCATTACATATCCTTGCCTATTAAACAGAGGGTAGTGGACATAATTTGACCTTTCCTTGATGACTCACACTGAACATCAGTCACTGTCGGAGGCTCTAATACCGCCCTGCCCTCAGGAGCATGTGAGGTCTTGATAGCCCAGTGCTAAATGGCTCCAGACAGCTGTGCATTTCAGGTTCTTCTGTCTTTCTACCCTGTCATTTGTCACTTCTCTGCTCTTGTCTGTGTGTCCTGACTCCCTGCTTCTCATGTGTTGCCTTCATTTCATGCACATCTGCTGGGTGAGGGCCTGAGCGTGGCTCTAGCCATCCCCAAAGAGCAGACGTGGACACAGGGACAGCTTGTTCAGCCACTCGGCTGCCTTCATGCAGAGCCCTGGCCCAAAGGAATACAGGCCTGTCTGCCTTCAGGTCCCCCTGCTGGGCCCCAGGAGAGAGCTTTGAGTCTGGCTTCTTAGAGAAAGGGACACTGTGGCCTCAGTCCACACGGAAGCCTTGGAGCTGAAATGAGTGCAGGGCCTGAGGTGTCAGTGGTCCCAGAGGAGTCCTCCTCTCTCTGCCGGACTTGGGGGGATGGCTGTTCTAGTCTTGATACCTAAGCCTTTCTCTGTCTTGGGCACATTTGTTTCACCATTGGTGGACACGATCAGGATTACTTTCAGGCCCCTCTCCTGCCCTTTAGGAGGTAGTCATTTAAACAGTCTCTGTATTCTAATTAATGGCATTCTGATAATCAAC